CTGCCACAGGTTTCCTCACGGGACACTGTAAAGTAAATAAGCACCTTCAAAACATGAAGCTTGCTGACTCCCCTCTCTGTCGAGCCTGTGAACAGGATGACGAGACGGTTAAACTTATCTTGTGTGAGAATGGCCAACCACAGATGACATCAGGAATGTACCTTTAGGAGCTGTCCTAGCCTTTGGTAAATCCTTAGGCTGATTGATGTGACCAGAGTGTGTAATGGGAGGATGCCCAAGGGGCCCAATGGGGCCTAAGTGTGGCGTGCGGTTTTGCATGCACTCCCCAATCCATACATACATACATAGTAAAAAGAGCAATTAGTGAAAAACCCTAAATCTAGCACTCAAAGTCCATCAAATAGCACCTGGTAAAGTCGATAATTTCAGGAATACTCTTGGGAGCTTTTTTCTGATAGTGAATTTGATGTTAATGCAAGATTCAATTACTTTTTTGATCGGTTCTTATCAACATTTTATACATCTTATCCTGAGGTTGGAAGGCATTTTAGAGTCCGTGATGTAGGAATCAAATGGTTTGATAACACACTGCGCCAGCTGAGAGATATCTATGACTTGGCTTCTAATCTTTATAATAGTTTTAAAACGGAAAGTCTAAGAGATTCTAGAGCCAGATTGTTATACCGTAACAAAAAAAGCTGAGGCAAAGCGTAAAGCTACAAATAACTAGCTTTAACCAGATTAGTAAACACCTCGTTGTCTTCTTGTGTATTCCCTGATGTCTTAAAAGTTGCATCTGTTGTGCCTATTTTATACCTGTTGTGACCTATTAGTATACTAAAGGCACTGTCTAAAAAATTTGAACGCGTAATTTACAAGCAAATAGTAGCACATGTAGAATCAAATAATATGCTTTTTGAAAACCAATTTGAATTTCGACCTGATCGGAGCACGAAGGATGCAATTATTAAATTTATGAACACCTGTTATGATGCATATGAAAAACGGAAATTCTGTGCTGCATTGTTTTTGGATCTGTCACGCGCTTTTGACAGTGTATCCCATAGTATGCTATTGCATAAACTGAGATATTTCTATCGATTTGATCAGGACAGTGTTGACTTAATCAGATCATATCTGTCGGGCAGATCCCAACAGGTTAAGTGTGAAAATAAAGTGTCTGAGCGACTTCGTGTCACGAGAGGCGTCCCTCAGGGATCCATATCGGGACCTCTCTTGTTTATTCTTTTCTTTAACGAATTTCCTAGGTATTTGCTGGTAACGGGTGTTGAGTTTTCAGACAACTTGATATTTTGACACTACCATCTTTATTTATACTTGAGTGTCTTCTGTACTGTTACGATAACAAAGACAAATACAGCACGCATAGCGACGTGCATAGTTATGGGACCAGAAACCGTGAAAACATTTACGTTGATTTTTGTCGACTGAGTAGAACGCAAAAAAGTGACATATATATTGCACAAATCTTATTTAATAAATTGCCCATGGGCATTAGATCTTTGCAAAAAAATAAATTTAAAAATATCATAAGAGCGTTTTTGTTGAGGTATGCGTTCTATTCAGTTGAGGAATATCTGAAAGACAGGATTGTAATTGAGATTTAATTGTGAATTTACTTATTGTATTAAATTATATATGAAGAGTGTAAGCCCTGGCATATAACACAATAAAACTTATTATTATTATTATAACCGAAGATAACTACCAATATACATTTCTGAAACATAGCACCTTTTATCCACAAGGCACTGGATTAGATAATTGTGATTCACTTCTATACATCAGGATGTGATTTGACACTGAAGCAATCAAGCTTGCAAAACATGGGCTAACTTCACCTCGTCGAAACATCGTTTGTAACAAATAGTTGTACAGGGTGTCCCAATTTCGATGTCCGCATAGGCTATCTCCGAAACTAAAAGAAATAGAAAAAAAGTAGCTTAGATGTTATGATCTCGTTTTTCGAGAAAATGCTAATGCCGAAAACTCCGAACAGCTATCGTCTTTTGTTTTCGCCCTATCGGCAAAAACTGAAAGTTTTACGAAAACGACAATCGCGAATATCTCACTTATTATCAAAGATGGAGTATTATAAATAAAACATTATATGGGCAACTTTTTACGAAGAATTCAGTGGCGTAGGTAGAATTTTTTTCCCATCTTTTATTTTCGAGATTTTAGACGTAACTTTATTTTTTTAAATGGAAACCATAGTTGGCTATGACTTAAAATAATTTGTTATTTTCTTCTGATAACAAATATATATAGTTTGTGGGGTATATTTCTTATAGTTATTGAATAATTAACAAAAATTCATTTTGTTCCATCTAAATCTAATGTATGTATTTAAAAGTTAATGTTGCTATGGTGATAACCATACATACTATGATGGAATATAATGTATCAATTTTTTTTGTTCTTTCTAAAACTATTGTATGTATTTAAAACTTAATGTTGTTATGGTGATAACCATACCATGAGGGAAAGCATTGTTTCCAATTATTGCCAAAGTTTGTAGCAAGGACAGTAGAATCTAACAGGACTGCTACATCCATTGTATTTTTGTAGTCGACTACGGGTTGGTTGCCCGCACTCTACGTCACACTATTTGCCACGCCTGATAACTGTCTATGTTTTTAGAGGTTATATGATAGACATTAATACGTCTAAAAACATAAAACTTCAAAACTAATATGAATACGTCTAGGATATAACCTCTAAAAACACACAGCAAACGCATAGACCATAACAACAGCTGGGCGTGGAAAATGGTGTGACGTAGTTTGCGGGTAGGCTGTCACAACAATGGATGTAGCAGTCCTGTTAGATTCTACTGTCCTTGAGTTTGTAGTAGTATTTAAAAATTCACTAACAACTCTGGCATTATGTGCTGGTGCTCCGTCATATTGAAAATATATCATTTGAGACATATTTAGTGGCAAATTGTCGACCAAAGGCTCAATGTGCTGCCTTAATATATTGAGGTATTTCCCTGAGTTTAAGTTTTTATGGTAGATACTATATGCCAAAATTCTATTATCTAAAAGGGCACACCATACATTGAACCCCAATCTTCTTTGAACACTCAGAGACTTCATCGGTCCAGATAACATTTTGAACAAACAGCAGATTATTTAATTTTTTTAAATATCATCTACAAAATTCTAATCTTCGATTGACATCTCCGGCACGTAAATAATGAGTTAGCCCCGCTTTGTATGGTTTATACTTATTTTTCTTTCATATTCGGGAGCAGCGGCTTTTGGGTCAGACGTCTTGTTGCAATTTCTCTTGCAGGTCATTTTGGTATGTTTTTGTATGTGGTTTGGGGAAGGACCAAATATCTATTAAATTTTCTGCTAACCGGCTGAAGGTTCTTACGTGCGGTTGTCTTCTTTCTGGATATCTTGTGAAATAAAATTCCGCGGCTAACGTCGCATTCTTATCTGATAACATATAGCATTCCATCATGTTACATTTTTCATAATTTTCGAAATTCATTGTAAAGTTTTATTCAGTTTTGTTATACTTTGACACTTAACATGCTGGTGCATCGTACCAGCACATAATGCCAGAGTTGTTATCGAATTTTTAAATACAAACTTTGGCAATTATTTGATACATTATGTTCCATCATAGTATGTATGGTTATCACCATAGCAACATTAACTTTTAAATACATACATTAGATTTAGATAGAACAAAATGAATTTTTGTTAATTATTCAATAACTATAAGAAATATACCCCACAAACTATATATATTTGTTATCAGAAGAAAATAACAAATTATTTTAAGTCATAGCCAACTATGGTTTCCATTTAAAAAAATAAAGTTACGTCTAAAATCTCGAAAATAAAAGATGGGAAAAAAATTCTACCTACGCCACTGAATTCTTCGTAAAAAGTTGCCCATATAATGTTTTATTTATAATACTCCATCTTTGATAATAAGTGAGATATTCGCGATTGTCGTTTTTGCAAAATTTTCAGTTTTTGCCGATAGGGCGAAAACAAAAGACGATAGCTGTTCGGAGTTTTCGGCATTAGCATTTTCTCGAAAAACGAGATCATGACATGTAAGCTACTTTTTTTCTATCTCTTTTAGTTTCAGAGATAGCCTATGCGGACATCGAAATTGGGACACCCTGTACTGTAATTATTAAGAGCAGTACAGCTTGACAAATCCATATTGGCCGATCAATTGCGCAGAAGAAGGAGTGTGACAATAATAGACGAAGTTGTAGCATAAGGTTGCAATCAAAAATCATAATATTGAATTATGACATGACATAATCTCCAATATATTAAATACTAAATAAACTTGCTTTTACATTTACGATAATTTTTATACGACATTCAAAGTGTTAAAAAAATCACACGATTCTTTATCTTATTACAATCAATGAAATGATTAATCCTGTTTGATATGGAAGCCTGTTTAGCTGATGTGAAAAAAAAAACAAATCATTAGCACAGTCTTCTTTCGCCTTCTTTATTTCCGCTGGGTTTTAAGTCGATGTCTTCTTTCCCAGGTGACAAGTGTGTCCTGATCGGTGGAAACGAAGACACTCGCAGAAACTCGCAATAAATTTACGCCCCTAATAAATATGAAACCAAAAAAAAAATTAAAATAAAAATTATTTAAATAAAATAGAGACACCCAACACTTTGTTTTCACGCATGAGATTGCTTACTTATCGTATAAAAAAAATAATGAAATAAACCGAACGATGATGCCACCGCAACACATTTTTTTTCATTTGGATTTCGTTTGCGCCACCTCCTCGTTTTTAATTTTAATTTTCGATTGTGTCCCGATGAATTGAATGAAATCACAATGTACTTTTTGTTTAAATTTGTCTTTTTTGGCTTTTCTGTATTTGTTTTTAATAATTTTTTTGCATCGAAATCGTTATGTTCAATATACGAGTTTAATAAAGTGTGTAATAAGTAAGAGAAGGGAAGGCGCAAAAATGCGTTGAATGAAGGCAGCTGTGTGTCTGCTTCCGTTAGGGCACAACTTATCGCACGCGGACGGCAATAGCCAAGAAGAAGGTGAAGTCAGAAATCCATCGCAGGACTACAGAAATTTTGATCAACTTCCGAATAGACATCGAAGAAGTAACTCTTCCCAAATTCCATGTCTTCCAATTGGTGGCGAAGGCGGAGTTCCTCCCGTTGTTCCTGTTTCGCCGTCGTCGCAAAAAAGACTTTTGGATATTGCACCAACTGAAGATCAAATTCAAACTTGTACAGCTTTGGCCCCGATTACTCAAGATGAGACTCAATTAATTCCTAGTACTCCTAAAGGATATATTACTCCAGAGGTAAGATTATTGAAAGGTTTGTATTTTTATTTTATTTTTATTTTCGAAAACACGGTGATTTAAATTTTATTCTTGATCTAAGTGGTGTAATGATGTATAGCGCTGAATTAATCTAATTTTCTAAAAAAGAAAATTAATACAATTAAAATCATCAAGATTTAATTTTTAGAAAATTAGAATTTTATGATTTAACTTTTTAATTTGAAAAGTGATGTGTTTGCGATATGACTTGCATAAATTGGTGTCGTATGCCCTAATTTTTTTCTTCCAAAAAGATTATTAAAAAATAATTAAAAAAAAAACAAAGCCATCACGTAAATAATAAAAATAATTATTAACATACTCATTTTGCCCGCGCAGAATGTGTTTCTTTTTAATTTCTTTTTTAAATTTAACCTTTTAACTTTCTGTTAATACTCTGCATTACGCGCAAACGAAAATTTGTTTCGATACAAAGATTTAATTTGCTTAAATGTTTTAAATAAAAAAACGATTATCGAGTTATTTTTCATTTGCGTGTTGTTAATGAAAAAATTTCCTTTATCTTTGTATTAAAACTTGTATACAAACCATGTGTATCGATCTGTCTTGTAGGCGGACAGGGTAAAAACTGATCCCAATAACAAGAAGGTCGAGAAGCTAGACGAAATACCTAGCGAATTCGAATGTTGCTTTTGCACTTCAAAGGTAGTATATACCCTCTTCTTATTAATATCGCATTTAAAATTTCTGTTTCTCTTTATAATTCATCCGACAAGCTTTTTTTCATTCATTATATGCTTTGTGACATTCCAGTTATTTTTTCATTTTGCCGGGCAAAAAAACAACATCAAAGAAACAATTATAAACATACAATCACAAAAAAAAAACAATAAATATATACTCATGTGCATTTTTTGAATTGTTTTAATAAACAAAAAGTTTTATAGGTTTTGTTATAATTAATTAATTAATTAAGTTTATTGCTACCAAATCAGCAATACATTCCACAAACAATTAAATTTTTAGCAATACTACAATTACATATATCACATTACAATACAATACATTTTATTTCCTATCCTACCCCTCCCCATCTCCTCCCCGCATCTCCCTACGCTGCCTTGTCGCCACCACCTCCCTCATCCATTCTCTTCCCTCTGCCCCCTCCCCCAGCACCTGCTTCCAGCCGATCACCTCCTCTCTTAGCTCGTCACACTCCCTCAGTAGGTGCTCCAACGACTCCCACTCCCCCCCACATAGCCTACAACCCCTCTCATCATCTCTCATCCAATACCTATTCGCTCTCTCCTCATTGCCGCATCTGAATCTTGCCACCATCCTCTTCCCCTCCTCATCCCCCTCCACCGACAGGTACTTCGGCAATCCCTCCGTTATTATTTCCTCGTACTTAGGGTTGTACCTGCTCTCCCTTATCTGCCCCCTTCTTTCTTGCCTCTGTACATCTCTATCCCTGCTCTCCAGCTCTTTCCACATCTCAATCCCTTCCCTCCTTCTATCATCTACCGCTTTCACTGAGTACCCCACCCTTCTGAAATATTCCTCCCTCCCTCGTTGCCCGTAACCCCCTTTCCCTGCCTTAATCTCTTTCCAGCACTCCCCCAAAATTTTACATTGAGACCTCCCTTCAACCCTCTCCTCAAAACGTACCGCCCTTTTACCCGCCTCCACTCTTAACTTATCAACCTTCACCTCTTCTCTGACTATGTACTCCGGCGTCTCTTTTGCCAACCCCAAAACCCATCTCCAATACCTAGCCTGTACGCCTTCCAACAGCCCTTGCTCTTTCCACCCCCAAAGCTCCGCCCCGTACATCATAACACTTCTAATCAAGCACTCGAATATCATCTTCCTTTTTCCCATATCCCTTCCAAATAATCTCTCTCCCCACCCCCAGACCTGCCCCATCACCTTATTCGCCTTCTTTGCCATTGCCCTCACATGCGCGCCTTCCTTGTTGTCCTCTCTAAATCTGTACCCCAAATATGTGTACTCCCTCACCTCCTCTATCTCCTTCCCTTCCCACCTCCAGTCTTCGCTCTTCCTTCTACCCCCTTTACAGAACTTCATAACCTTTGTCTTTCCTACATTCACCTCCAGAGCCTTCCCCCTAAAATAACTCTCCAAACTCCGCATCATCGCCTTCATCTCCTTCGCCTCTCTCGCCACTACCACCAAATCGTCCGCGTAAGCCAGTGAATGCACCTTCCTCCTCCCTACAACCACACCTCCCATCTGCCCACCGGTCAATCTGTCTTCCATGTCTGCGGTATACAAGGCAAACAGAGCGGGACTAAGTGGACATCCCTGCCTCAAACCCCTCGTTGTCCAGAACCTATCCGTTAACTCGTCCCCCACCTTTACCCTAGCTATCGTCTCTGCGTATATCTCCCTCACCCTGTTTATTGTCCCACCAGTAATCCCTCTCCTCCTCATCTCCTCCCATAACTTCCCTCTATTCACCTTATCAAAAGCTGCCTTTAGATCTATGAATAGGGCGTAAAGCTTCCCTCCCTTCCCTTCCAGCTCTTTATCCACCAAGTGCTTCAATATGTACACGTTATCTATCGCGCCCCTTCCCTTTCTAAATCCTGCCTGTCCGTCCGGTAAGATCCCTTTCTCTTCCATCTCTTCCTCCAACCTCTGCAGCAGCGCCTTCGCATATATCTTGTACGCCGAGTCCATTAAGCTAATTCCCCTATAACTTTCCACTACTCCCTTCACTCCCTTCTTGTACAAGGGGCTTATTATCGCCGTCCTCCATCCAATCGGAAACCCTTCCCCTTCCCAAACTTTGTTCAGCGCTTCCAACAACTTTCCCCTCACTTCTCCCGTTGCCTCCAGCCATGCCTCATTCTGGACACCGTCCTCCCCTGGAGCCTTCCCCCTCTTTAGTCCCCCCAACGCCGCCTCCATTTGTTCCCCGGCCATCTCCTCTCCTCTCCGTCCCCCTGTATCTACCTCCTCTACCCGCCTCTCTTCTTCCCCCTCCAGCAGACCCTTGAAGTAATCTCTCCACTCCGTCATTTGTATTTCACTGGTAATTTCCTCTCGTACCTTCCTTATTTTGTTTATATATTTCCAAACTTCACCCTCTTGTCTCACCCTTCTAATCTCTTCCGCCTCCCTCTCCCTCAATTCTTTCTTTTTTCTTTTGCATATCTCTTTATATCCCCTCAATGCTTCCCTATATTCTTCCACCCCCGCCAACCCTCTCCGCCACTGTCTCAACTTCCTTCTCGCCTCTCTCTTCGCCCCCATGCACTCACCATCCCACCATTCGTTCCTGCCTAGCTTTGCACTGCCCCCTCGTACGTACTCTTTCTTCGATATCGCTTCCCCCACCACCCGCGCCAGCTCGTCCACCCCCCTAGACATCTCCACTCTCCGTCGCCACCCTTCCAACTTTTCCCTAAAGTGTTCTATCCCTCTTTCCGACCAGTCAGCCCTTATACTTTTTCTTTCCCGATTCAAACTCCCTCTCCCCCACGCGCCCCTTAGTACCAATTCCAGCGGTTGGTGATCCGATTCTACTGATTCTCCCACCCTGAAGCTTTCCACCCTATCCCACATCTCTTGGTCCACCACCACGTAATCAATTACCGACGCCCCCCTTGCCCCTGTATATGTGTACTCCCCTTCTTCTCCCTCCTCCTTATTGCCGTTCAGTATCTCCCATCCGTTCTTCTCCACCCACATGGTTTTGTTATATATCATCCTAAAAAACTGTCGAAGTTTTCCAATTGCTCTTTAAGAATGTCTTCTGAATCCTCTTTAGCCACTGAATTTATTGCAGCATCAACATGATCGTCATTTTTCAACATTTTGCTATTACATTACGCGATATTTTATCCCAAGCATTGGCAAACAATGGTGTTTTATCTTCAAGCCGAGGTCGCTTGTGGCCGAGGCAGTAGTTGGATCTCAAGTATCTTGCTTGTAGTTCTTTGGCCTCAAGCCACATCAGCTACCATGTTCCACGATTTAGCTTTAGTAGACGATAATTATTTGTATAACAAAGCTGCGATATTTTGTCTTCAAACTGAGGCAGTAATTGGATCTCGTTTTATCTTTAAGTGTCTTCATTGTAGCACTTTGGCCTCAAGGGCTGTCAGCTACTATATTCTATGACCACCAAAAATATATCTGTACTGCCGAAGTACGAAATAGTTATTTATATATCATAGTTGCGGTACTTCATCTTCAAGCCGAGGTCGCTTGCGGCTGAGGCAATACTTGCATCTCGTTTTATATATAAGGATCTTAACTGTAAAGTAGTGGTGAAACGGATATCCGGCAACTAGTTACCAAATATCCGGCTTTAGCCGTCTAAATAAATACATTTTTAATACATTTTCTTATTTAATAAATACACCAGCATAAACAAAAATCACGATCCCTGCATTTAGGAACTCCTGCACAGAATAAAATGTTTTCTGACACAAAATCTTTTTTAAGCTACCTTTAAAAATCCTTCTATTAGAATCTCCTATTAATTCACTCGGCAGCCCAAGCTGTGTTTTGGATAAACGGCAGAAATTGTTATGAATTTTATCCTTATTCCTATTATGATGCTCATGAATATCGGCATGTATCGCAAAATGTCTCCTGTTATCAAAAGCATACAGAGCGCATTCGAAAATAAAAAGTATTACTTAGTATCTCTTTTAGGTGTTGGACACTGCAGATAATAATCAAGTTCAACCCCAATAGGACTTTTTTCATTGAATACAACTTCAATTGAATACTTCTTCATCATCACATTCATTACTAACAGAACTGTTGCTGTTATCACTTTCGATTATTAATTAAAGTATTCTCTTCTTAATGCAAAAAGCCGTTTTGAAAATTCACTTTTAGTTCGTATAAAATCTATTTCTTGGAATATGAGTATGAAAATTTTCCAAAGTGTTAATAAAAGTGTCCTTTTTCCAATGAACTAACCCGTTTTGAAAAATAACTTTTAGTTTTTGAGAAAACAATATTTGAAGTTTTGATAAAATTTTCGATGTTGCAATTTTCATCGATAATTTTCAAAATTCGCTATAAAATTAATTTCTTGAAGGATCCTTGTGGAAATATCACCAATTATTAATTAAAGTATCCTCTTTTTAATGCAAAAAGCCGTTTTGAAAAATCACTTTTAGTTTTTGAGAAATAAATTTTTGAAATGATCGACAATTTTTTCGAATTTTGCAATTTTCGCCGATTAAGTTTTAAAAATTCGTATAAAATCCAGTTCTTGGAATATGAGTATGAAAATTTCCCAAAGTGTTAATAAAAGTGTCCTCTTTCCAATGAACCAACCCGTTTTGAAAAATAACTTTTAGTTTTTGAGAAAACAATATTTGAAGTTTTGATAAAATTTTCGATGTTGCAATTTTCATCGATAATTTTCAAAATTTAAAATTAATTAAAGTATCCTGTTTTTAGAGTTGCTTCGTTAGTTAAATCAGCATCAAAAAAGTTCATTTTGTATCTTGGATCCAAATAAGTTGCCATATCTTATCAGCTTTCTTATTAATTTCATTTTTATTCAAATATCGCAATAATGTGGCAATGTAGGGTATCACTTCAGAAATTATAACCATAATGGCCGGATAGATATGCCGGATAACGAATATCGGCTTTTCGCAAAATCACTATCCGTTCCATCACTACTATAAAGCTTCGGTTGTAAGTGACCT